AACCACCATGCCTACTAAACCATGTCCAAAAGTGCCACATCTACATGTTTTTTGACCCCCTCCAGGGACAGGGACTCCGCCATTGCCCTCGGCAGCCTGGTCCAATGCCTGCCCACTCTTTCAGTAAAGAAATTTTTCCTAATATCCAATCTAAACCTCCCCTGACGCAGCTCGAGGCCATTGCCTCTCGTCCTATCACTAGTTACCTGGGAGAAGGGACCAACACCCGCCTCACTACAACCTCTTTTCAGTCGTAGACAGCAATGTCCTTCCTGTACTGAGGGGCCCAGAACTGAACACAGCACTCCAGGTGCAGCCTCACCAGTGCCGACTACAGGGGCACGATCCCCTCCCTGCTCCTGCTGGCCACACTATTCCTGATCCAAGCCAGGATGCCGTTGGCCCTCTTGGCCACCTGGGCACACTGCTGGCTCATGTTCAGCCGGCTGTCGACCAACACCCCCAGGTCCTTTTCCGCCAGGGCATGGGAGCCAGGATACCTGTCAGTGCTCCGAGGGTGTTAGGATGTGTTCCCTCTGCGTTTTTACCCAATCATTGCTTAGGCTTTAGCAGTGACCATGGCTCTCCTCCTGGTGCCAGAGGTCAGGGATGTCCTTTGAAGCTGTTCGTCTCCTGTCTGTGATCAGTCAAAGAGGTCACTTTGAGCAAGAGTTTACTTAAAGAACTAACAGAACAGCTCTAGCAGACACCAAGGAATGAATTTGGTTTTGCCAGATTTGGATAGGTGTCTCTGGAGGAGGAGAGAAGTGAGCACAGGAAGGTGCGAGGGCTGGGCGGCCTCAACAGCAGGATAACGCCTCTCGAATTCCCTGGGGAAGGGCGGTGGCTGGGCAGCCCCTTTGCCTGTGCAAGCAGTTAGTAGAGATTCGTTTGAGCTATCACAATATCAAACATGCCAACAGTGGATCTGTAGGCAGCTTCCTCCTTACCCTCGCTATACACACATGTACTGGGTAATACGGCAATGCAGAAGTACTGCAGTTGTTCAGATATCTTCCAAGGATTCGTTTGAAAGAGGTATTCCATCAAATTCCCGCATTAGCCAGCTACAGAGAAAGGACATTCGTGTATGCAGGCATTCTGGCAGGAGCTATTTGCTTTGGGGCCAGATGTAATTCAAAGTTATTCTGAATATTACGCTGGAGCAGCCTGGCCAAGCACAGTAATGCTGATTACTAGGGCTTTCCTGGTTTTCCAGATGGAGCTGATTTCATTTAGTTCTCTCTCTTGTAATTAATAACTTGTCCTTTTATTCATTTTTGAATCTTTGTTTTATCTCTAGCATTTTGTAGAATAGTTTCCAGTTTACTTAATCCATTGCTTGCCTCCTCAGTGCACGCCGCAGAACTCATTCAGCCATACAGTTTAATGACGTACAGCCCAAATCTCTGCTGCGCAATCTCACATCCACTTCACATCAAGCTGGCATTTTTGTCATTTATATTTTATATGCTATAAACTCACAAATCGTACAATTTCATACTAGAGCAATGTCAATAATTGTTAAAAAAAACAACTAGCCACTAGCAAACATATGGGATCTGTATGTTCTGTCCTTTAAACAAGTGCAGATTTAGCAAGGAGGGGGAGGGAAAAGGAAGAGAAGCAGAGCCACAGCCCCCCGCTGCCAACGCAATGCGCGTTCCTGCAGCATCAGGGTTTGGATTAGGCCCATGGTCACCCTACTTAGATTTCAAATCAAGAAAAAATAGATGAAACTCAATTCCCCGCTGCCAATTTTTAGCCATATTAGACTTCTGCGTACAGAGGATTTTTTTAAATAGTGTTCACTTGGGGCTAGCCGTTTGCACTGACAACACGTTCATAAAAGGGATATCAGATGTTAATAAATGGTGAGTATTTGGTCTGTAAATGTATTACAGACAAGTGTAAAATGTGCCATGGGTGGCTAAACACCAGCTGATTACAAACAGGGTTCCACAGAACAGCACAGATTAGCCAGACGTGCCTTTTTTGTGTTTTTAACTCCTGGCACGCAGCAGGGTCAAGTCCAGGACTGGGGCTCCTAAGTACTTCCACAATTTAAACAATAAATATTAATCTGCTAGAACATAGAAAGAGACGATGAGCTTGAAGCATATAGATGAAGTGGGCTTGCACGCAGGAGCTGTATGTTGGAGCCAGCCTGTACATCTGTGTGTACGTGTGCAGCCACACATATCCTATCGAGGAGGAGGAGCGATGTCAGCGGGTCCCTCTCAGGCTGCCCTGCACGGAGGGAGGTCGAGCTGCTGAAACCAGGAAGCCCGGCCGAAGAGGCGCCC